TCATTATAGGGGATTGGAATGCTAAAGCAGGGAGTCAAGAGATAAAAGGAACAACAGGAAAGTTTGGCCTTGAAGTTCAGAATGAAGCAGGGCAAAGGTTAATAGAGTTTTGTCAATAGAACAAACTGGTCATCACAAACACTCTTTTCCAACAACACAAGAGGCCACTCTATACATTGAAATCACCAGATGGACAATACCAAAATCAGATTGCTTATGTTCTCTGCAGCCAAAGATGGAGAAGCTCTATACAATCAGCAAAAACAAGATGTGGAGCTGATTGTGGCTCTGACCATCAGCTTCTTATAGCAAAACTCAAGCTTAAACTGAAGAGAGTAGGAAAAACCACTTGGCTAGTTAGGTCTAATCTAAACCAAATCCCTTATGAATACACAGTGGAAGTGAAGAACAGATTTAAGGAACTCAATTTGATGGACAGAGTGCCTGAAGAACTAGCAAGGAGAGATAAGAGGGCCTTCTTAAATGAACAGTGTAAAGATACATAGGAAAATAATAATGGTAAAGGACAAAAATGGTAGGGACCTAACAGAAGCAGAAGACTTCAAGCAGAGGTGGCAAGAATACACAGATGAATTATAACAGAAAGATCTGGATGTCCTGGACAACCCAGATAGTCTGGTAGCTGACCCTGAGCCAGACATCCTGGAGAGTGAAGTCAAGTGGGCCTTAGAAAGCTTGGCTAACAACAAGGCCAGTGGAGGTGATGGCATTCCAGTTGAACTATTTAAAATCTTAAAAGATGATGCTCTTAAGGTGCTACACTCAATATGCCAGCAAGTTTGGAAAACTCAGCAGTGGCCAGAAGACTGGAAAAGATCAGTCTACATCCCAATCCCAAAGACAGACAGTGCCAAAGACTGCTCCAACTACCGTTCAATTGCACTCCTTTCGCATGCTAGCAAGGTTATGCTTAAAACCATACAAGGCAGGCTTCAGCAGTATGTGGACTGAGAACTCCCAGAAGTACAAGCTGGATTCCGAAGGGGCAGAAGAACTAGATACAGTGGGGTCTTGACTTAAGAACGGCTTGAGTTAAGAACATTTTGACTTAAGAACCACTCGCATAGGAAAATATTGACTTGACTTACATACTTAGATTTGAGTTAAGAACTGAAAAAAA